CCTGCTTCTGTAGGCTCTCCTGCAATTCTGCTGTATCGACCTGCTGCCAATTCTGGGTGTGTGACAGTTTCCCTGGTCTTCCCATGTGCTATTTAAGCCTCCAGTCTTCTGGAAATCAATGAATGCCATTATGGCCTCATGCTGATGGTGCCCCTTATTGGCCAAATTGTCTTTATCTTATCGTTATTTAAGACTTAATAAACGTATTCCTACTGTTTTGAAGATATGTGATCTCTTTCGTCCCCTCAAGTAACAGCCAAAATAATTTCCACTTAAAGCGAATATCCAGTTACTCAGCTTACCAGCCTTGAATCACATTTTAGATCCAGAGTGTGCTTAATTGCCTCCCTGAACCATTGCCTCTCTTTGAAGCAAGACCAGAAAACTGGATGGGGCCCGGCTAGCATAATGGAACATTTCATCAGAGATTCCATAGAAGAATGCTGATTAAAAAAGGAGAGAAGAGAGAACATAATTTCAAAATCTCATGAACTCTATACAGACTTTTAGGAGACATGAAAGGGGATAAGCCCGTGAAACTACTGCTGTGTGTGTTAAGGTTTATCTTTAACATAAACCTTAAACATAAAATACCCCCTGATGTCATCTTAAAACCAATCAACAGTTTTGCTTAATTAGGAAAATGGTCAGCATTACACTCTTTGAAGAACTGTCTATACAGGGTCACTATGAGTCGGCATCCACTGATAGCAGTGAGTTTGGTTTTGGTTGATAGGGGATCAAACCGACCACAGTAACATGACAGATAAGATAGGAGAGCAGTGAGTTTATGTTAATGAGGAAGCACTTAGAAAAAGGTGGTGAGAATAGTTGCACGACAAAGTGTGTAATCAATACCACTAACTGATACAGGCAGAAACTGTTGAATTGGTGTATGTTTGCTGTGTATATTCTCAACAACAGCAAAACATTTAAAAAACATCTGTTTAAGGAGGACTTGTAGTCACCACCAAACTAGTGACAGAATAGAAATAAACTTTTCCTGGATGATTTGAGAAAAAAATTCATTGACAAGTATCTCTGGTGAGTTGCACCTAGGGTCTTGTGTTAGTCTGGGTAGACTAGAGAAACAAATGCTGGGAGACTCATATGTGTATAAGAAAGAGGTTTATATACAAGAACAGTTGAATATTGAGAAAACATTAGTCTAATATTAGCCCATATGTCTGATACCAATCTATAAAGTCCTCTTCAGACTCACAAAACACATGCAATGACGGCCAAATGCCCGATGATTCAGGGGTGTTGTAAGCATCTCAACACTGGCAGCGGTCTCCGTGTGGCTTCTCCAGCACCCAGGGCTGCATCAGGGTAGGTCTATGTGGCTTCTCTTCAGGGATGTCTCACAGGAAGTCTGCCTTGTCAGTAGAGAGTCTCCAAGGGAGTGACTAGAGAGAGAGAGGTGTCTCCCTGCTCCAAGGAGGAAATACAGGATTTCCCAGAATTCCCAGAAGGCCATGTCCACACAGAGGTCTCATTGGTTATCTCCGGATTCACAAGGTAGACTCCACCCCTACACTCTTAATCCTCAAATTGACACCAGATTATGTAACTAGCAAAGGTCTTAAAAGCTGGAGAATGGCCATCTAAGAAACAACTCCTATCCTCTACTCGTCTGATATAAAAAAGGACGAAAGAAACTAAGAACTCAAAGAAGAAATTAATCAACAGGACTAACAACCCACATAGACTATGGCTTTTTCTAACCTGGGACCACAATGTAACCAAACCAGTGGCCACTGAGTCCATTCTGATTTATAGCTACCCTATAGGTTAGAGCAGACTGCCTCTTTGTGTTTCTCAGGCTGCAAATCTTTATGGGCGCACAAAGCTTTTGCTCTACATTTTTCTCCCATGGAGTGGTTGGGAGATTTGAACTGCTGAATTTGCAGCTAGCAGCCCAGTGCACAACCCCTATACCACCAGGGTTCCTTGAGACCACAATGTAAGGGCTTTCAAAAAGTTAGTGGAAAAATTCAATCGAAAGATAATGAAATTTATCTACAAACTTTTGAAGCTCTTTTGTAGAAAGTCTTGTTTAGAAAGGGAGAAAAATGTTTAACCCTTAAGTTCATAAAAAATGATCACATTTACTGGATCGATAGAGACTGCAGGAACCTCTGGACGGTCATCTCTTTTAACCTACAATGGAAACTTACGCCTAGAGGTCACCCTGCAGCTAAACAATAGACGGATACAATAAATCTTATGGCTCACAAGTGATAAGTCTCTTGAGCAACCATTTGAGGCCAATGAGCAGAATTTACCTCATAACAAAGATTAGAAGACAAGGAAGGGGAGGTTGACCAGATGAACGGAAACAGAACAAACGGAAATAATGAGGTTGCTGCCATGTTGTGAAAATTGTAACCAGCGTCATGGAACAATCTGAGTAAAGATCTTTAAATGGGAATGTCATTCACTGTGAGGCCTTTCATCTTAAAAACAAGATCCTGCAAAATAAATAAATGAGTAAAAATATGTACGTCAAGATAGAACATTATTTTGTATGGGCCCAGTAAAATTAAGAAAAGAATGTATACTTGAAGGATATCTTACTTAAACATATTTATTTTTTGCAGGAATTTGTAAAAAAATATTTGGTGTACATTAAGACTCATACCCTTCAAGATATCTGATAGACACTGTTGGAGGTTGGTAGTTTAAAACCTGCCAGCAGGTTCTTGAGAAAAAGATGAGGCTATCTATTCCTGCAAAAAGTTACAGCCTTGGGAAAGTAGTTCCCAGTGTTAAATTCTGTTCACTCAAAGGAATCTCCTAAGGTAGACAGTTTCCCTGGTAGCGACATAAGATTCAAATATCCTTATGAAGTGCACTAATATTTCTATTTTGTGTTAAAAGTTTCAGATATTTTGTGTTAGTTTACTTATCTAAGGTTCCAGAAAGCATGGATTTCCAAAGATAACTGAAAAGGGCTGAGTGTATAATCAGAATTAAAATAATGTTAACTTCCAGTTATAAGGTGACCAGACGTCCCGATTTTGGCGGGACAGTCCCAATTTTTAACAATTTTTCCTGCATCCCGTGGCGTTTTAAAAAAGGCCAGATTTTTGGAAAGAATGCACAACAAGCTAGGGTATACGGTTTTCGGCTGCCATGTGGCTATTTCGCCAGGATATGAGTTTTATCAATTTGTCCCGCTTTTGTCCCACTTTACCAATGTTAAAATCTGGTCACCTTAAGTTATCAAGTGAATGTGTTTTGCAAGGAGGAAGTTTTCATATATACAATAAAAGAATAATTCTTTGAGTCACTAAGAGGAGTCACAAGTCATTAACACCTAGAAAAAGGTCTGAGCCACAGCCTCCTTCCTCCACCCATTTGTAGGAAGTAGCATTAAAAAGTCCTCTGGGTTTTAGATTGGGTTCCATAATACACTGGTTGCTTAACCTTGACTTTGTCCAAACCACTTATTCTCTCCAAGCCTGTTTCTACAGGAGGCCTGGTGGGGTAATGATAATACACCACTGTGATCCTAATAGTCTGTAGTTTGAAACTACCAGCAGTTACTCTGGACAAAGATTGGGCTTTGGGCACCAGCTTGTTTCTACAATTGTAAATGGCATCAATAGTACCTGGCAAAAAGGTCTAGGATAGATGATCTATATGAATATATTATGTAAACTATAAATATAGCCACAGTATTCATATATCAGTTGCTATCTAATGTAGTACTGTAAGTACAGGACTGGCCTAACCTTTCCTGTCTATGACCTTCTGTAAAATGGGTCCATGTCTAGGTTTGAATATCACCTATTGGCTGTGTGACCTTGAGCAAATTATTTCTTTTCTATATGCATTTCCATATTAGGTTATAAAGATACAATGAAATCTTGTATGTAAGTGCTTGGCACTGTATCCGACACATTAAGAACCCAAGTACAAAGAAAATGTTTTGAGAGTGATGATGGCAATAAATGTACAAATGTGCTTGACACAATGGATGGATGTATGAATTGTGAGTTGTACGAACCCTCAATAAAATGATTTTTTTTAAAAGCACCCTAATAAATGAGGGTTTTTATTTTCTGGAGAGCAGGTTTTAAGGAGCAAACAGTTGTATGAAGCTAAAAGGTTTTGTATATGTATATAAAACTCTTGTGTAACCCAAGGTATTGTTATTTGTACAGTAAATGGCAAAGACGTATAAATATAGGCAATGAGAAACTGAAATGGAGTTTTAACGACCCTCCAGTGGAGAGGGGGGAAAAAGCAGAAAAGCGGGGTGGCAGGAGCCTCAGTAGCCTGGGATAGCAGTAGGAATAAGGGCATTGAGGTGCGGCAAAAAAGAAGACACAAGGGACACCCCGAGAATCAATTCACTGTTTTCTCCCTTCTTACATGAACACCAGCCTAGACCAGATCTTTTCATTCAACTTCCCAGCTCATTCAATTCCTGGGCATTTATTTACTGTACCTTCTTTACTGAGAACCGTACCTCTCCCTGCCCCTTCTAGGAGTTGTAAACTTCAGACCCTCTGTTTCCAACACCCAATTCCTTTTAACTTCGTTTCTTACCAAGCTTCCGAGTACTTTTCCCTCTGGCCAAAGGGGAAGCGCGATTAGACACAGCGCAAAGCACCCTAGGACATGCAGTCTCTCAGGCTGTTTGGCTGGGGCCCCAGAGTAGGAAGGTCGACAACATAGAGCCAATTAAAACTACAACTTCCGGCAGACAACACGAGTCACGGTCTTCCCTTCTGCCCGCCCAACCTTTTGCCTTCCTTTTCCGTCTCTCGGCGGGCGCCGTGCCGCATAGCCTCACGGTACTTGTAGTCCATTTCGGGCCCAAGATTCTAGCATTTAATAGCCAGGAGAGGGTCAGGAAGACTCCAGTTCCCAGAGGGCAGCGCGAAAGGCGCGCCTGCGCACGTTGAGTTAGGGCGTGTATGTCTGTGTGTCTGAGGGAGAGAGAGCGAGTGAGTGAGTGAGTGTGAGTGCGGGGTGGGGTGGTGGCCGTTACGTTCGGGGCAACGGCTACGGCAGTGGAGAAGTAAGAAGAGAAACAACGTCCGGCGTTTCCGCCTCCGCTTAGGAGGAGGAGGAACTGGTAGGGAAAAAGAAACTGATTCGCCCTGGGCCTGTACTACCCCGAGTCAGGCCGGTGGGGGTCCGTGCTATGAGCCTTTGAGGGTCGCTTGGGACGCGGAGCGAGACACGAGAGCCCAGAGCTATGTCTCAGCCGCCGCCACCTCCTCCGCTGCCGCCGCCACCACCTCCTCCAGAGGCTCCGCAGACTCCGCCGCCTCTGGCGGCGACGGCAGCGGCCGCCCCGGGGGGGCTCTCGAAGCGGAGAGACCGGAGAATCCTCTCCGGGAGCTGCCCGGATCCGAAGTGCCAGGCGCGCCTGTTCTTCCCGGCCTCGGGTTCAGTCAGCATCGAGTGCACCGAGTGCGGACAGCGGCACGAGCAGCAACAGCTGCTGGGGGTGGAGGAGGTGACTGACCCCGACGTAGTGCTACACAACCTGCTGCGGAACGCCCTGCTCGGGGTGACAGGGGCACCCAAGAAGAACACGGAACTGGTAAAGGTGATGGGCCTGTCCAACTACCATTGCAAATTGCTGTCGCCCATATTAGCTCGCTATGGAATGGACAAACAGACTGGCCGAGCTAAGCTGCTCCGGGACATGAACCAGGGTGAACTCTTCGATTGCGCCTTATTGGGTGACCGCGCTTTCCTCATCGAGCCCGAGCACGTTAACACGGTGGGCTATGGCAAAGACCGCTCTGGAAGTCTCCTGTATCTGCATGACACTCTGGAGGACATTAAGCGGGCCAATAAAAGCCAAGAGTGCCTCATTCCGGTGCATGTGGACGGAGATGGGCACTGCCTGGTGCATGCTGTGTCCCGGGCTTTAGTAGGCAGGGAGCTCTTCTGGCATGCCCTGAGAGAGAATCTTAAACAGCACTTTCAGCAGCACTTGGCCCGATATCAGGCCCTGTTCCATGACTTCATTGATGCTGCCGAGTGGGAGGACATTATCAATGAGTGTGACCCTCTGTTTGTACCACCGGAAGGCGTTCCTCTGGGCCTGAGGAACATCCACATCTTTGGCCTTGCCAACGTGTTACATCGTCCAATTATTTTGTTAGATTCTCTCAGTGGCATGAGAAGCTCTGGTGATTATTCAGCCACCTTTCTGCCTGGGCTCATCCCAGCGGAGAAATGCACTGGGAGAGATGGTCATCTGAACAAGCCAATCTGCATTGCATGGAGTAGCTCCGGTAGAAACCATTATATCCCCTTGGTCGGCATAAAAGGAGCTGCTTTACCCAAATTGCCTCTGAATTTGCTTCCTAAAGCATGGGGTGTGCCTCAGGATCTTATTAGAAAGTACATCAAACTTGAGGATGATGGTGGGTGTGTTATTGGAGGTGACAGAAGTTTGCAAGATAAGTACCTACTTAGGCTTGTGGCTGCTATGGAAGAAGTCTTTATGGACAAACATGGTATCCATCCTAGTTTGGTTGCTGATGTTCATCAGTATTTCTACAGGAGGACTGGGGTGATAGGGGTTCAACCCGAAGAAGTCACAGCAGCTGCTAAGAAAGCAGTAGTGGATAATCGTCTTCACAAATGTTTGCTCTGTGGTGCCCTATCTGAGCTTCATGTTCCTCCAGAGTGGTTGGCTCCCGGAGGGAAATTGTATAATCTGGCAAAAAGTACTCATGGACAGCTGAGGCCTGACAAAAATTATAACTTTCCCTTGAACAATTTGATTTGCTCTTATGATTCATTGAAAGATGTTTTGGTACCGGACTATGGATTGAGCAACCTAACGGCTTGTAATTGGTGCCATGGCACATCTGTGCGAAGAGTCAGAGGAGATGGTTCTATTGTGTATTTGGATGGGGACAGAACTAATTCTAGGTCCACTGGTGGCAAATGTGGCTGTGGATTCAAACACTTTTGGGATGGTAAAGAGTATGACAATCTTCCAGAAGCTTTTCCTATTACATTGGAATGGAGTGGACGAGTGGTCCGAGAAACTGTGTATTGGTTCCAGTATGAAAGTGATTCATCTTTGAATAGTAATGTTTATGATGTTGCAATGAAACTTGTTACGAAGCACTTTCCAGGGGAATTTGGGAGTGAAATCTTAGTTCAAAAAGTTGTCCATACTATATTGCATCAGACTGCCAAAAAGAATCCTGATGATTATACGCCTGTAAATATAGATGGTGCTCATGCCCAAAGAATTGGAGATGTACAAGGACAAGAGTCAGAGTCTCACCTCCCAACTAAAATTATTCTTACTGGACAGAAAACAAAAACTTTGCACAAAGAGGAGCTAAATATGAGTAAAACTGAAAGAACTATTCAACAAAATATTACGGAACAGGCTTCTTTAATGCAGAAACGGAAAACTGAGAAGTTGAAACAAGAACAGAAAGGTCAGTCCAGGACTGTTTCTCCTAGTACCATTCGTGACGGTCCATCTTCTGCACCTGCAACACCTACCAAGGCTCCCTATTCACCAACAACTTCTAAGGAGAAGAAAATCCGCATAACAACAAATGATGGCCGTCAGTCCATGGTTACCCTAAAGTCTTCTACAACCTATTTTGAACTTCAGGAAAGTATAGCCAGAGAATTCAACATTCCTCCATATTTGCAATGCATTCGATATGGGTTTCCTCCTAAAGAACTAATGCCACCCCAGCCAGGAATGGAAAAGGAACCAGTACCTTTACAGCATGGTGATAGAATTACAATCGAGATTCTAAAAAGTAAAGCGGAGGCTGGTCAGACTGTTGCAGCACACTCAGCCCACACTGTGAAACAAGAAGAGATTGCTGTTACTAGCAAATCTAAGGAACTTCAGGAACAAGTTGACAAAGAAATGTACTCCTTGTGTCTCTTAGCAACATTAATGGGTAAGGTTAATTTATCTTGGATGATGTATGATGATTATTTTTCTACTGTCTTTGCAAAAAATTAGTCATTGTAGAAAAAAAAGATTAGGTATTAAGGAGAAAATTACTTAGTTTTCGGACAGGTTATAGATAGCTATATGGAAAACATAACTGGAATGTGAAGGTAGCTAATTCCCAGATGATTTAAATATATTCTTGCTAATTAAAAAAAAACCAGACTTACAGTTTATCCTTTAAAGCCCGTTGATTGAGCCCCTAGGCTCGGTAAGCATTGAGTTTGCTCATCTTGCCTCTTTTTGTTTATTTTTGAATTTCATTTTTCTGTCTGTCAGGTGGTTTCAGGACTTCCTGTTTGATGAGTTGCAGTTTCTGATGTTTACATTCTTAGTGCACCCCACATAATGGTCTCTCTCTTCCATTTCCTGTCTCCTTTCCCTGGTTCATCACATTTTCCTTTTCTAGGGTTTATATTTAAGTAATTTCACTACTGAGTGAATCTTTGCCATTGATTGCAATGAATTATTCTAGCAACTGAGAATCATACGAAACAGGTAGATGGTAATGGGGTCATTGAAGAAGTATTTCTTAATAATTCAGCAAAGTTAAAAGGAAAATATTTTATCAACCAAATATGTAATTTAAAGTTTCATTCGACTTGTGATACTATGCAATGTGTACCATTTACCCTGCTTTTATGTGCTTAGTTTTGTTGTTTCATCCTTGTTAATATGTTCAACTAAGATTTAAACTATGAAGGAAAATAGAAGGGCCTTCCTTATTTTTGCTGAGATTAGAAAAGCATTCAACTTGAAAAGTGATCTGGTTTTGTTTCTATTTTCTAAGTATATAAAATACCAGCGAGTTGGGTCACGACCCATGAGGGGAACGCAGTTCGTGTTTTATTATGTGTGGGAACCTAGTAGTTAACAGGAGATCGAAAAACCCTGTGCAGATTTGTACTTGGTATTGCGGATTATAGTTTGGTAATCATAGTAACTGAATTAGAGGATTTATCAGGAACTAAGATAGGCATTTTACATATGTCTGTCTCTTAGAGTTTGTAGAAACTGATTTTAGAGGGAATGTTTATTAGAGACTGCATGGAATAGAGGAAAGATTGTGTGATCTTTGGAGTCAGGCAGGCTTGGAATTTGAATCTTGGCTCCACTACATATTAACTTAGTGATCTCAGGCAAGCTGCTTACTTCCCTAGTGCTCCAGTTGTCCTTTCTACACAAAATACCCCCTGTAGACAGTACATAAGGGCGACAGTAAAGTACTTTTAGAACTTTGAAAATTAAATAGCATCAGCAGAGAGTGGATGAAATTAGATATATGCAGAAGTTATTTTAAAAGACCATCAATCTCCCAGGTCAAAACCAGGAAAGTGAAAGTCCTCCTCGATAGAGGATGAACTCTTGAGGAGGTGGAGGTGGCTCATATCTTTTCTCTTTTTGTTTACTAGCATCTAGTACAGTGCCTAGCAGGTAGTAAGCACTTTGAAATGTTTTCTGCTGAATTAAATAGATGACACGAACATATCCAAAGAAAGGCGGTGTCAACAATAATGGAACGGTTAGTCAGCACTGGATAACAGAAAAAGTCTGAAAAGCAGAATTTGCCAGGGTTTATATACAATGTGGTACTATATGAAACTATATGAAACTATAGTTGGGTGTATGAGAATTCTGGTACTCTCTGTGAGGGACAGGAATATTTAATCAGGCCTCACCATAGTACAGGTCAAGGATCCCTATCCCTATAGCTGATTCCATCCATATTCATCAAGCATCTACTCTGATTACTTACTTAGCTTCCTGATAATGAGTATGGTTTAGAGTTGAAAATGCACCTGAGGATTCTGTTAAATGGATCGGCTGTGTTCTTTTGGGGTCTTATGTGCTCCATTAGCCCTTGGACTAATTGTTTCAGTGGGACTTCAGTTTTCTTCACTCCTCTGGGTGGGAGAGACCAATAGTGGCACCTTAGCAGGCCATTCACCAGCTTTTAAGACCCCAGTCGCTATTTACCAGGAAGGGATGTAGAACATTGTCTTTGTGGACTATGCTGTCACACTTGGTATACTCAAACCATGGTCCAGAGTCCCCAGGGCCAGCAACTCATTTTCTCTTGGTGTTTGGTTATGTCTAAGAAGTTTTCAGAACTTTGCCCCCTGTATGTTCCACCACATTTGTAAATATATTTGCCCTATTTTACATTTCCACAACAATGTATGAGAATTCCAATCTCTCTGTATTCTTTTCTGTTATTTAGAACTTTGTTATTATATTAGGTAAGATGATATTTCATTGTTAATTTGATTTGCATCGCGAATGGCCAGCCATTGAGAGCATTTCTTTTATGTCACCCAATGTTTACGTTGTTTTACTGTCTGTTCATTTCCTTCACCTATTTTTAAATTTGGTTACTTTCCTTTTGTTGTCGAGGTGTTGGAGGTTTTGTGTACATTTTAGTGATTAGTATCATGCCACAAGTGTCAATGATGATATTTGTTGTTTTATTTATTTGCTATTGTATTGTGAAGAGACAGAATTATAAAGTAAATTACAAAGTTAACCTAATGAGATACTAATAGGAAAATACAAATTTAGCATATTTGCTAGATGCTTTGCCAAACTATTCTTGTTCTCAGAGTTTGCCTTCTAATGAAATAGTACAAAAGTAAATAATTTCTCTGTTTGTGCTATGATTATGTTTTATTAGGTTCTTCTAGTTTTTTAATTTACTGTATGTACTCGACCCGAATATCAGCCAGGACACCTAATTTTAGCACAAAAACTGCATTAAAAATGTCCTGAAAAACTCGGCTTATGCACGAGTATATACGGTACTTTGTTTTTGTTTTAATTAGATTCTTAAATAAAAAATGATGGTATTATTAGTTATAATTTATGGACATAACATGAAGAACAGTTATCATTGTACTGCTTCATTTAATTTCTTTCTAAACTGTTTTTAGGCATTGATTAAGAGGAAAACCTTATTTATAATATTTATATATAGTACATTAGTTCAGCCAATGCTAAGAGTGCCACTATCTGTCAAGTATTGTGCCACATCCTGGGAATAGAAAGTTGAATAGGTTACTGGCCTTTCCCTGTAACCGAAAAGCTTCTACCTTGTTTCCCCGAAAATAGGACAGTGTCTTATATTTTTCTGCTCCCAAAGATGCGCTAGGTCTTATTTTCAGGGGATATCTTATTTTTCCATGAAGAAGAATACGGTACACATTTATTGTTGAACAAAAAAAGAGGAAATTTATTACCTGTATACAGTATGGTAGTAGTTGTCATCACAAACCAGAATAACCAGACAAACTGTGACTCCTACAGTACCAAGAATTTCTTGTTACTACCATTATTTCCATGTACAACAATCTATGGTACATTTACTCATGATCTATGGGACATTTACTCACACTTCCTGTCTGCTCTGGCTGCGCAGTGAGCTGCACAGTGGCACCCGCTGCTACGGTCCAGAGTCCAGAGTTACGGTAGCTTCGGGGCGCCTTATTATCGGGGAGGCCTTATGTTCGGGGAGGTCTTATTTTCTGGGGATGCCTTATATTTCAGCAAGAGGAAAACTGTAAGTAGGTCTTATTTTCGGGGGGATGTCTTACTTTCGTGGAAACACGGTCGTTTAGGATGGGAGACTATAAACCAAATTCACCTTCTGTGTGATAAAGGAGATGGTATTTAAAACAAAAACTCAAAACTGGCTTTGATTAGAGATAGAAGATAGAATCAAAGAAGAACCATGAAATGGAACTTAGATTTTACCTTATGGTTTTGAAAAGGAGCATTAAAGGTAAAATTCTGTTGTCTATATGGAGGAAAGATTTGGGGAGGGTGAGATTAGTGAAAATTACTCATAATATTATGGCAGTAATCCAGGCAGGAGATAAGACCTGATGCAGCAGAAGGAGGGGATGGAAAGAAATGCATTGGATAGCTATAGGCACACTGGTCATGCTGTTGGACTGCTGACTTAATGGTCTGTGGTTCGAACCCACCAACTGCTCCACAGGAGAAAGATGGGGCCACCTACTCTCGTAAAGATGTACAGATTTAGAAAACCTCTATATGACTTAGCATCAACTTGATGGTAGTGGGTTTGGTTGGTTTATGAGACTAGTAGGCGGACTGATCCTGCTTCCTGGTTTCTAATCCCTTTCCTCATTTTTGTTATCAAAGGAAATAATTCACTTTTTTAAAAAAAGTTCAGCCAGTTGTTGATACATTTCTATAAGCAAAGACTGGCTATTCATCAAATTTGTTTTAAGACAATTTGACCCCTCGTAGAGGTTAATATCAGTATTAGGAAATATCAGGAAAAGGATATAAGATTTGGAGATACTCTGAAGAGGACGGAAATGAGATCTTGGTAGAAGAAGGATGAAAAACTAGTATGTATAAAACTCAGATTTGTGCATGCAGTACAAAAATAGACGTGCGGTATATCTATTCAAATTGGTGGTGGGGAGTACAAAGTCTCATCTTTCTCCTTTGGAGTGGCTCATGGTTTCGAACTGCTGACCTTGTGGTTAGCAGCCCAATGCATACGGGGACAAGAATGAAAACAAACTTGAGAACACTAAAATAGAGTAAGAAGTCATCTGCTTGGTTAAATAAGGAGTATTCAGTAAAACTGAAACTCACTGCCATTGAATCAATTCTGACTCATAGCGACCCTATACAAGTTGGGCTGCTAACCCCCAAGGTCAGCAGCTTGAAACCACCAGCTGCTCCATGGAAGAAAGACGAGGCTTTTTACTCCCGTAAAGAATTACGATCTAGGAAACTCACAGGGGGCAGTTCTGCCCCGCCCTATGGGTTTGATATGAAATAGGAGCACAGTGCTCACATATGTAAAGTACTGAGAAAGAAATTCAGTTTCTTACATGCATCCAGATGATTAATTCTGAGGCCTTAGTCACTCTTGTGGCAACTGTTCAGATTCTTACTATAAAAAATTAAGTGTTACCATATAATCTTTTGAGATAATGTCAAAAGAAATGCTGTCTTAGACTATTTCATAACATATTAAATATGGTAGATAATATTGGGGTGGTAACCACAAAGTTTAAACCTGCCAGCTGCTCTACCGGAGAAAGGGAAGCTTTCTGTTCTCTTAATCCTTGGAGCCCTAAAAGGAGCAGGTCTACTTTGCCCTGTACTGTTTCTATCAGTCATAACTGACGTGATGGCAGTGACTTGAGTGGAGTTGAAAATGACAGGTCACCACTATAGAAATGATTTATAAAAATGAAGCTTAATGATAATTTCAGGTATCCGAGCTTCTACCAGAAGTTATTAATATTTCTCCATTGGAGGTTTTTATTAATATTTAACGATGGCAACGTGATAAGAGCTCAGCTGCTGACTCTAGGGCTAATCCAAGAGAAAGAGGCGACAGTCTACTTCTGTGAAGATTACAGCCCTGGAAACCCGGTGAAGCAGTTCTTTCCTGCCCTATAGGGTCACTACGAGTTAAAATCAACCTGATTTTTATTTATTTATTTATTTACTTACTTATAAATAAATATTCAGAGTATAAAATTAAACCTCTGTGTCTACTGCTGCAGATCAGGCATTTGGCTGCTAACCAATGTGTCGGGGTCAGGGGGCACCCAACACTCGAATGGGTCCTCAGGATCGACTTTGTGATTGTGGAACATATTAAAGACAGACAGACAGACAGCAGGGCATAGGGGCTCCTCATCCTATGATGTCAGGACTGAGAGAGAGAATGTATTTTCCAACGGATATATATAAATATAGTGGGGCTTACAGATCTTTCATAAGGCATATATGTCATACAGCTAACATCAGACGTAGTCAATAGGTAACATAATAAGCAATAAGATCTTGACCTAGTGCTAGTTGACCTCATCCACCCCCAGATCCCTCCCCAGGGGCCTGCTACATTTATAGTGGGTTACCTATAGGACCTAATTGCTTTTGTCTATAGAAAACATTTAGGCATTGTGAAGTAGCCAGACACAGAAGTGACTCAGTTTATGTGGTAGCTCCTTTATGACAGTTCCTTTATGGCAGGTTATTGGAAGGTCTGTGTCCAGTCATGAGAATGTATATTAAGATTTATTAATTAATGAAGCTATAATTAATTTATAGCATTAATATATTAATAATATATGCTAATGTATCTTGTAACTGTGAGAGTCTTCCCCCACTAGAGTCGGCTTTCCAGACCTGTAGTTATGAGCATGATGATTTAGCTGTATCACATTCTCATCCAGTCCCTCAGTTCACCAGATCAGTGGGTAACTGGTGCAAACCTACCAGCTGCACCTATACTGATTTAGTCTTGGAAACCCTATATAAGGTCACTAATAAGTCACAATCAACTTAATGGCAGTGGATTTCTTTTTTTAAACGGGGGTGGTAAACTCTTAAATATAGCCATATTTTAGTAGTATTTTGTCATCAGTGAATCAGGTTTTAGGTATGACGGTAATATTATCAGTAGGATTACAGTTCATACACGAATAGGTTTATTACAAACAAAACAGGTTTAAACATGTCTGTGTGTTCAGTGGATGGCTCCAGACAAGTTCTCTCAGTAATGTACTTAGCATCGTCTTCATAGGGTATCTTAGAAAAAAAGGTCCTGTCAAAACAGTGATTTCCAAGGGAACTTGTTGCGCCAATAAATAAAATTCAAGGCAGAGGTCAGCTCAGAAGGTTATGGTAACTGGGGAATTTTAAAAGAGGGTGGGGGTAATATTGTTTTTTTTCCTGAAAGGATATAGAATAATCATGGGGACTTATGGGAAGATTGTTTGTTTGTTTTTTAATTGAAAACTGCTTCAGTGAGAAAAAGGCCAGACAATTTGGGTGAAGGAGTTTTTCTTCCCATCACAATGCATTTGCTCATTTTCTGAGCGTAGCAAGGGCTGTCTGTCTAATCAGTTTTGGAACAACAGCAAAGCACAACTTTAATTATCCTTAATCTTGCCATTTGCTTTTCTTCCTGGCCCCTTTCTATCTAGTTTTAACACACAATTTTTTATGCTACTTTTACAAAAGAAATATTTTTCTATTGTTTGAGCACTTTGAAGTTCTTATATTTCAAAATAGAATTATATTAAAAACCTGGATTTTTTTGCCTTCCTCTGAAAAGTCAGATGGTCATGAAGTATTAGGCCTGCACTCTTCCATGACAACAACTGGTACTGACTGCCACCTTTTAATGGGCCATGCATGTTATAGTGCAATCTGTGTTTTAGGGTAATCTGTATTAAACTAGAAGTTTACCTTTTTTGCATGTTGTTAATACAGTAAATATTTTTATCTTACAGGAGAAGATGTATGGTCTTATGCAAAAGGACTTCCTCACATGTTCCAACATGGTGGTGTATTCTACAATATTATGAAGAAAACCATGGGTATAATTAATTTCTGATGTTATTCTTAGTATTTCTACTCAAACTATTATAAGGCTAATAAAATTTGCATATGATAGTATTTTTCTAAAAATATTTGCAAAGTAATTTTAGGTACATATTGTTCTTTTCCACCTCCCCTCCCCCAGCAGACTGCCTAATTCAAATGAACAAGGCCAGCTATAGTTCATGCTATAATATTGCTTTAAAATATCCTTTTAAAACATAAAATTCTTAACAACTAAAGATATGTTCTGAAATAGAAGCAGATTTGGTAAAATGCCAGTGGCTACCCTAGAGCCAGATAATGTTTTTATGGTTGTTGTGTTTTGGCTATGATTATTTTATAACTCACTGCTTTCTAGATTTTAAGAAATGGCTAATTTTACATTTACCTACTTTTTTCATATTTATGTGCTTTGTTTGTAAAAATACATGCATATGTGTAGCTGTTTTTAGAGTTTTCAGAGCCTTAAAAGAGAAGTTACCAGTGTCTATATTTGAATCTCACATGGTGTTTTAACGATTTGATGTTAATTTATTTAGCTTCAGACTTGGCACTCTGGCTGTCTCACTTTTTCACCTACCTGACCTCTGTAGACATTCCATACATTGTTGTTGTTAGTTACTGCCAATTGGGTTCCAAGTCGGCCCCAGGTGCTAACAGAAGAAACAGAGCTCATCCTGTGTTATTTTCATGATTGCTTGTTTACTTGAGTCTGTTATTATTTTCCAACTTATGGGATGCATCTCCCAGGACAACAATATATAATTGATCAAGGACTCACGAGGGTGAGAGGGAGGGGGAAAAAAGAGGAGCTGATACTAAGGGTTCAACTAGAAAATGTTTTTGAAATGTTGATGGCAGCATATGTACAAGTGTGGTTAACACAATTGAATGATGAAATGCCCTAAGATTTGCCAGCACCCCAATAAAGTGATTAATGAAAAAATTATCCCTCTCTAAACTGGACTATTATGTATAGTAAGTCCTACACATAATACTTCTTTCCCTGTAAATACTTCAGTATGTATTTATTTATAAAGACAAAAGGCTTTTTTTAGCACCAAAACCAATGTCATTATTATAATTAAAGAGAGCGAAAAAAATTTAAAAGACTGGTAATTCCTTAATATTACCAAATATTCAGTCAGGATTTAACTCGCCATGATTTTTTAAAAAATGTCAAAGAATGGTCCTTTTTTCCTTCCTTTTTTAAAAAAGACAGATGACATAATTTATATACAGTAAAATTTGCCCAGGTATAGGTATTCAAGTATATGAATTTTGACAAATATGTAGCCATGTAACTCACTATGGGGAATGTTTACGTCACGTCAGGAAGCTTCTTTACCTCCCATTCTCTTCCCCCTTTACCTTAAATCCTGCCAATCTGATTTGATTTCTGCTCCTTTATTTTTGCCTTTTTCAGATTGTTGTATAAATAGAATCATAGAACAGCTTTTTATATCTGATGTTTTTATATTTAGGAGGGGTTGGCAAACTATGGCTTTTGTATCAAATCTGGTACCCCAGCTCCCTTCTGGTTTTGTGTATAGTTTTAATGGATCATGGCCACAATCATTTATTTGTAGATTGTCTGGCTGCTTTGCTTCTAGTGGTTCTTCAGCTTGTTGAAACATTTCAATTGGTATTCCATCAATTCCTGGATCCATGTTTTTGGCTAATGTTTTTAGTATAGCTTGAACTTCCTTCAGTACCCTTGGTTCTTGCTCAAATGCTAACTCTTGAAATGGTGGGATAT